AGATGGTGTCGGTGCTGGTGGCTTGCTGTTCACCTCTGTCTGTTCTGATTGTTTTTTTTTTCTGTTTTTTCATTTTTCTTCGGTGACAAACTCACTGATTGTTTATGATCGCCAACAACTTTTAAATATACAGTTATCTACTGCAAACCGCGCCTTGTTCGACCACTTTGATCAGGGCTCTGGACCCCCACCCCCTTTGCTTGTTGATGTCCCGGTGTACCTGAAGCGCGCGGCGTTTCTGCCCGCCTGAAAAATCGCTCCAGGCGCCGTGGGAGACGTGCCGGCCGTCTCGTGAGGATTAAAGCCAGCTTCAAGCTCTCTGCTGCTTCGTCATCTGCTGCTGACCATCAGACGTTAAACTGTCCATCCAGATGCTTCGCTGACCCACTCAACTCCAGCTCGCTCCAGGTGCCCGGGTCTGGTATGCGCAGCGGGCGCGCGCGCGGTGGTTTCGGCCATCTCCAGTGGAACTTATCCAACTCCGGACCTTCTGCTGCATCATCTCCTGCCGACCATCTGCTGGATATTCGCCTGTCCGGGTGCTTCGCTGATCGTGCTACGTCCTGCCTGATCCCCGTAGTCGAGCCTGGCTCACGCCGCGGGCGCGCGCACAGCTGCGACGTCTCTGGTCCTTGGAGACGTGGTTCAAACTCCAGAAATCTGAAACAGCTTGTCTGTGCTCGGAACACAGCTTTACCTTCACCTACTGGTCCTACAAAGATTGCTCTGCTGAATGTGAGGTCACTGGCAAATAAAACATTTATCTTAAACAACTTTTTCTGCTCCAATGAACTAGACTTCATGTTTGTTACAGAGACCTGGCTTGTCCCTGGTGAGTTAAGTGTTTTTTCTGAACTTTTGCCAGTGGATTGTGCCTTTTTTAATGCTCCAAGGACTTCTGGTAGGGGTGGTGGATTATTAACAGTTTTTAAAAAGCTCTGGAACTGCAGACTGCTACAGGCTGACATTTTAGCGTTTTGAACTGCTGTATTTTGAGCTGGGCCGCTCCAACCCAACACTGTGCAGCCTGATCTACAGGCCACCCTCATACAACAAAAACTTCATAAGGGAATTTTCTGACTTTCTGACTGGAATACTGCTCAATTACGACAGGGTCTTGATTCTGGGAGACTTTAATGTGCACGTTTGCTGTCCTGACAAGCCTTTGGTGCAGAAGTTTCTAAATCTGATACAATCTTTCAACCTTGTGCAAAATGTTGTTGGTCCAACTCATCAACAGGGCCATGCACTTAATTTAGTTCTGTCTCACGGTTTATCTGTGGTTAATCTGGAAATTGGGGATGCTATTGTTTCAGATCACAAACCCATTTCATTCCAAACCTCAGTTATTCATGAGTCTAAACCCCCCGCTCTAGCCAAGAGTTGTCGGATATTTAACTCTTCAACCGCTGCTCTTTTTTCCTCTGCATTCCTTACTGATGCTGCTTCAGTCCCTGAAACCTCTGCCTGTATTAGTACGCAGGAGCTGCTCAGTAGGCATTAAGAAACCTGGACTTGACCCTTCAACTTGCTCAAATTACAGACCAATCTCAAAACTTCCCTTCCTGTCCAAAATCCTGGAGAAAATAGTTTTCATTCAATTAAACAAGTTTTTGAATGAGAACAGAATCTTCGAGATTTTTCAATCTGGTTTTAAGCAACTCCACAGCACTGAAACAGCATTAGTAAGGGTTTGTAACGACATTATGATATCAAATAATTCTGGTCAATTTGTGGTACTGGTGCTCCTGGACCTTACTGCTGCTTTTGATACTGTTGACCACAGTATCCTTATATCACGGCTGGAACAGTGGGTTGGGATCACAGGTGCTGCATTAGAATGGTTCCGCTCATTCCTGAGTGGCAGGAGTTTCTGTGTCAAGGTTGGGAATAATGTTTCCGCCTCATTATCTCTTTCTTGTGGGGTCCCACAGGGTTCGATTCTTGGACCCCTTCTGTTCTCACTTTATTTGCTCCCACTGGGTCCATCTTGAGGAAACATGGTCTTTCATTCCATTGCTATGCTGATGACTGCCAGATCTACCTGCCTGTGAAACCAGCAAGTGTTTGCTCCATTCACCCTCTGTTAAAATGTCTGGACAACATTAAGGCCTAGATGGCTTCAAATTTCTTAAGTTTTAACAATGACAAGACTGAAGTCATTGTCTTTAGCCCTAGCTCAACTGCCACCACTGATCCTGTCAACCTGGACTCTCTTCAGCCATATCTTAAGCAGTCTGGTAAAAATCTCGGGATGGTTTTAGACTCTGACTTCAAGTTTGACAATCAAATCAACTCTGTTCTGCAGAAAAGCTTCTTCCAACTCAGACAGGTAGCTAAGCTCAAGCCAGTGTTGTCCAGACCCGACCTTGAGAAACTAGTCTACGCCTTTGTCACAACACGATTGGGCTATTGCAACGCACTGTATGCTGGGATCAGCCAGGCATCCATCTCACGTCTTCAGCTCGTCCAGAATGCTGCTGCTCGGCTTTTAACCGGAACTCGTAGGTCTGAACATATTACACCAGTTCTGTCCTCCCTTCACTGGCTCCCTGTTCGTACGAGGATAGTTTTTAAAATTCTTCTGTTGAC